ACAAAGGCTCCCACCCTCTCCCCTTCCCTGCCCTCACCCCCTGTTCTCCATGTGGGGCAGCAGCTGGCTCAGTAGCAGGGCCGGGGCCTTCACATTGACATTCAAGATCTGAAATCAGAGCAAATGAGGGTCAGGGAGGAGAGACATTCAGTCCAGTGCATGTTCTCACTGCATTAGCAAATACACCACATTAGAACATGGGCGTGATGGCTTCTGACAATGGGAAGTGGGGAGAGTGCTGGCTTTCTTTGACATACATGGTGGGCGGGGGGAGGCATCCTAAAAAGCTGGAATATGGGGATCAGGAAGCCTTTGCAGGCATAAGACCCAGCGTCTGCAGGATGTCTCCCTGTGTCTATAAGGGTATCAGTTAGAAAAAAATGTCCCATCTGGGTCTGAGGTGGCACTGGCCAATTGAGTCTGGGGAAGGTTGGTATTATAAGCTGAATTGTGTACCACACAAACTCTATGTTAAAGTCATAACTCCTAGTACCTCATAATGTGACCTTATTTGGAACTAGAGTCATTGCAGACATAGTTAAAATGAGGTCATAGAATGGGCCCTAATTCAAAATGTATGGTGTCTTAAGAAGGCAAGTTTGCACATGCACACACACTGAGAATACCATGCGAAGGTGAAGGCAGAGGTTGGAGTGATGCTTCTTTCTATAAGCCAAGTAACATCAAAGATTGCCAGCAAACCACCAGCAGCTAGGAAAGTGGCATGAATAGATTCTCTCATAGCCATCAGAAGGAACAAATCCTGCTGACGCATTCTGACCTCCAAGACTGTGAGACAATAAATTCTGTGTATAAGCCACCTGGGCTGTGGTACTTTGTTACAGCAGCCCTCCGAAACTAATACAGCTGGATTTCAGGGTTTAAGCCTTGGACATGAAGCATTCTTAGGCAAGGAAGGGAGTCATTCCCTTCTCTGTGCCCCACATTTATTGTGATGATCTGGTTCTCTGTTGGACCTTCCCAGCAAACTGGGAGCTCATGAACAGTGGGGATCAGAACTAGAGTGTAGCAAGCATGTCAAACTCATGGTGGCTGCGAGTTTGACATGCTTGGTGTAGACACTCCTACCTCCATCTCACAGATGGGGAATTAAGGGTCAGAGTCCAGGCACCTGGCCTGCTCGGTGCCAGTGAGTCTGTGAGGGGAAGGTGTGTGGGAGCTGAGATGGAAAGAGGGTCGTGCAGAGGGTGAGGATGACATCCGTCAGCCCTACTTGGTGTCCCCAGACCTCACCTTGTCCCAGACCTCCTCACTGCTCCCCAAGGTACTTCCCACGTAGGGATTGACTCCTGCCACACACACCAGGAAGTCAACATTCCCAGAATGTCTCAGGGCCTGCAGGGAGAAGGGGGCAATGAGGATTAGGGTCAGGAATCAAAAGAAGTTTTCTGTTGCAATGGGAAGTATTTCCTGTTTGCTCTCCCTGGGTCTCTGCTTGGCTAAATCCAGGAGGGGACCACACCAAGTGAGGGTGGAGAGCTGTCTCTCCTCATCAGACTTAAAACATCTCTCCACCCAGATCTGTAAACTTGTTCAGGCTCTGGAGTCAC